TGGACCCACCATTTACAAAATGTTTCTTTCGCAGACAACTTCGTCGTTGGAGGGAAGAATATGGGTAGTGCAATGACGACAGGCAGTGGTGTACCCGTCAATAAATTATACGAGGCTTCAAAAGTAGTCGGAAAGTTTTTCACTGGTGCGTCGACAGCGACCGCCGTTGCCTCGGGCGGATATGTGCAAGGTGCAGGGCATTCTGCATTCGCAAAAGTATTTGGCTTAGCTGCCGATAACGTACTAGGTAGGAAAAATTATGAAATTTTAATAGTGCATTCTAATCTGTAATCCTTCTCAGAATTTGAAGTAGTCATAGCTAACGGAAGCCTCGTTAAGGCGAATGAAATCGAGAACCCCGATCGTTCGTGGTTTTCAATTATTTAATAGTTCGCGTCTGAATATGCGTTCTAGTGTTTTGGGCTATGAGAGGTGGAGGTGCTGGCAGTTGGGGCGTAATCATTTCGACCACCTTCCGAACCTTCCCCACTTTCCCGGCAGTTCAACATTTCGTTTCCATCGTCTCCCCCACCAATGCGTCGACGGGACAACTCGCTGAAGTTCACGCAAAACATATTTTCGACCTAACAGTGCCCCGCGCAGGCCAATATTTCACTTTCTTTGCTGGGACGCCGAATACTGGGAACCTTTTGACTTTATCTACGTTCTTTCCGAACGCAACGGCAGACGAGGCGAAGGCCATAATGAAGCCCATGCTAGACGATGCGCGAGCCATGAATGCGAGCGTCAGTGCGGAGACGCTCACACCGGGATCGGCGAACGACCTCATGTTTTTCAATGACACTTCATTCGGTATAAACGATATCCTCGGGTCCAGACTGATACCTATGCAAGCTTATCGCGATAACGTCGCTGTCATCGGAGCTGGAGTGAGGGAGCTCTTCGAAAAAGGTGTCGTTGAGATCCTTGGTCATAATTTATTGGGAGGTGCGTACTGAAATTGATAGTGGCGCATAAAACAACTCGAACTCTCCAACAGGCAAGGTGTCTGAGAATGCGAATGTCAATAACGCGGTGAACCCAAAATGGAGGCAAGCACAGACTCATGTACGTGGATCAGATGAATGTAAAGACAGTGTATTTGATCCTGGCATCGCAGTTCATCGCTGCAACCCAATGGCCAGATTCTCTATCGCCACTTGAGGTAGAAGCCCTCAAGCAGACTATGACGAGTGTCTGGGTGCCCATTATAGAAAAAATGACGAACGAGACGGACAGTGCCTCGTACTCGAACGAGGCTGATGTGCGAGAGCCAAACTTCCAGGTCACTTTCTTCGGGGTGAACTATCCTCGGCTCAAGCAAATAAAAAGTGTCTACGATCCCCAGGGTCTTTTCATTGTTCCGGCTGGTGTAGGTAGTGAGGACTGGGATGCATTTGGTACCTGTAAGACTGTTATCATATAGATGGTGGATTCTATTAGGATTTTTTCAAAACCAACTTCGAGACAATACCGGGTTTAGCCGTGCTTCTGCACAGCCCGAAAGGTGATCGCCGCCTGTTGTGATTCGACGGCGGACAACTCGGGGCACACGAGTATTCTTAACTTCCCTCCAACCACGCACAATGAAGCACTGCGTAACTCTGCCGTCAACGACCATCATCTACGTCCTCTGCTGCCCTTCTTTCAAGCTCAAAGATGGGTAATTGTGTCACGAACTGGATCTTTCGAAGGCAGAAGTTTTGCTGTTGTCTGCCTGCACGTCTAGGAGCTGCCGTGCTCTCGTTTCTCTCGATCCTGTTTGGAGGGCTGTTGATGATCATCATTTGGTACGAAGTTGCGAGTGAGTGGACTATCTTTGACGTCTAAAGGCCGCGTGCTGATGATTTTTGGGACAGCGAATTATTTCATGTCCAACGAGGAAAAGGTGGCATTCGTACTGGCTGGCCTGCTCGAAACAATCCTTTTTGTGTCCTCCGTATTAGGGTTCGTGAATTTACAACTTAGAAACCAAAGTCGGGACTGACGAGGGTCACCACAGCTTCGTTGGCACATTGGCTCGGAAACAGTCTTTCGTGGTCACGTACGCGATCATCCTCTATTTCCACTTCTTCGTCAATTTGGCGGTGGCTTCCTATTTCCTTTGGATGATCACACATGTGGCGGACGAGGACATCGTTAAATTGTGCGAGGAAGGGATTCGGAATGATCAAGCGCAAGGACAGTGCAAGGGCCTCTTGAATGTCACGAAAGGCCTTTACTGGGGAGTCTCACTGACTGTGCTCGCCGTGGAAGCCTGTGAGTTCACATATGATACATTGAAGCCGGCTAACTCATGTATCCATCCTGTGTATCAGACTGCACCCTCATCGTTACTCGTTATGTAAATCAATTGCGATACGAGAAACGGGGTGTGCGAGAATCCCGAATGTTGAAACGACAAAGCGCCTTCGATGCGTACCAAGAGCATATCATGGGTGGTTCCTCGTTTAACACGCCGACGAGCGCAGGCTTCAAGAGTCCGCTTGGAGAAGCGCACAGTATGGATGACCTTGAGGGACGAGGGCTCTTGCTGGCGGAACCAAAAGAGTTCGATCCGTATGGCAGTGAATCCTGTGGGACGAAGCCGATGTCAAGTTCAGCCCTTGACGGCACGAAGACACAGGCGGTGAATCAAGATTTCAAGGAATCGTCCGGGGTGCAGAGTCCATCTCGATTGAGCGCGGAAGAGAAGCCTCCTCGAACGCCTTCGCCTCTGAGAGAGCATTACGAAGATAAACTATGAAGAGTTTCGTGCTCGCCATTTTTTGTAACATTATTCATAGGGATACCATCTTTTTTTTCTGTACGGACATTTAGAGGACTACGTTCTCCTTACGCTGTTCTTTTTTGTACCTTTTTTTTGGCATTTGTACATCAATCCACATACCGAATCGTGATTAGAGTTTTCAATGCGGCAAGCGGTGACTGCGACGCGCCTCGTTGGTTCGTGGCCACCTTTGACTTGTTCTCAACGTCGTGCAACGGCGGCGACACTCTCAAATTCCCACTCAGCTTCGGCTGGTGTTTGGCGACCTTATTCGCGTCCATCTCAATCAACTTCGAGGACCTATCTTGTCTGATGTCATGCCCATTCGACACCATGCTCAACGGAAGCACATCATCCATTCTGTGCGTCTTCGAGCTCTGTGTCGTAACCTGCACTAATTCACTAATCTACGGTGTAAACAGCTCAACTCCCTCCTCTACCAGCTGCACACCTTGTCTTTCTTCCTCGCGCCGTCTATCATCGCTTACCTTTGCCGCTGCGGAACGCAGTTCCAGTTCGCGAAACCTCGGGATCTCGATGGAAAGCGCTCTCTACGATTCTGGTTCGTCATTATCCTCCTCGTCAATATGGGGAGTGTGTGGTCGCATGCCACGGAGGGTGCGCCGGAGGGGAAGACAATCGTGCTTGATTTCGTCGGAATGGGTGCGTAATAAGTCTCTGTAGCAGGGTTTCATCTGGTAATAACACTTTGTGTGAAGGTCGAAAGCCATCGAAGGCTCAACTGCTTTGGCTGGATTTCACAATCATCCTGCTTGAATGTATCCTCTCAACCATCGCCTTTGAGACATCCCTTGCAAACGCGATGCCGGACGACACCCCAGACCCTCTCTACATACCACCCACGACAGAGACAATATTTGATTCCGAGGAACACGACCTCGAACACGATGCATTGTTACCTATAACCAGTCTTGACACGGAATCTACACCCCTCAATTCCGACCCATCATTCTCATATCCTCCAAAACCACCTTCCACGGATACAAGGCACCTCCCGCCAAGAGAGCCTGTCATGATTTTGACGCTGTCGCATGTTTACCACCGCCTCGTCTCACCTACGCCTATACCCCCACCACGATCTCTGGACCTCGAGAGTCTGGAGGACTCACTCCGACGACTCGCTCTACCGTTGCCTGCTACGAGTGGTGCCTCGATGGCGGTTTCGAGGATGTTGGAATTGATTCGAAGAGCCCGTGCGCGAGAAATAGAGAGAACTTCACGAGGTGCAACTGCCAGTGGTGCTGCTGGAGGTCCTGGGGCGACAAGTGGGTCAAGTAGCGGGAGTGGTCGTAGTCGGAGGTCGAATTCAAGAAGGATACCCGGTGCGATTATAGAGGAAGAGGACGATGGAGATTGATTCCCCGAGTTTGGAGGGTGTTGTATAGTAGATGTACAGTTACTTGATCGCCAGCGTCGACCTGTGCAGGCAAAAGTCACCATTTCCTTTTCATCTGGAAGTGAGAGTGAGCCAATAATCAATAGCGTAAAAGGTCGTAAACATTTACAGCTTCATGCATGCATTTACCGAATTTCTCGAACTCATCTTTACAAGCGTCCTTTTTCATGTCCGTGTAACTTTTCAAGATGCATTTCCCATAAGCTGCTGCATGACTTGAACAGGTCGTTGTTGAGTGGACAGCAAGACGCCGTAGCGGGCTTATTGCTGTTGGTGAGCTCGACGACATAACTGCGAACAATTCGGAAGACACGAAAGCCTGAGAGGTGGAGAGTGCCACTGAGTCTCCGTCACAACGCGTGTATAAGATTCAATACTCACGATTGAAAGACGATTCAAATAAAACAGAGTTCAATTTCAGGCAACACCATTCACGTATTGCTAGTATGTGGTGAGTCGGAAGGACACGCAAAACAAGAAGAACTTCGTCAACGATAGTTGTCCAAGAAACAAACACATACAAATACTGCCACGCGACCACGCGACGCGAGTTACGCAACGCGAAAAACACGACTTACAGGCGGAAGACTTGCTGACATAACTCACCCACACCTCCGCCGTCGGCCAATCAGATGAGGGTAGGACTTTTATTTTGCGGTCGTCTACGATACATCGACCACCCACCCACCCCCTGTAGCATTGTTACCGAGAAATTTAATCCTCGCGACCTCTTGCTTACAGGTCGAATAAAATACTCCAAAATACGTAGAAAAATCCTACAACTCTCTAGAAAATGAAAAAGGAGGCAAAAAGCGACGCCAGCAGGATTCGAACCTGCGCCCTCAAAGAGGAACAGATATCGCAGGTTCGAATCTTGCTCGTGCAAGTTCAAACCAATTCGAATCTGTCGCCGTAACCACTTGGCTATAGCGCCTTTGATTTTTTCAAAACGTGTACATATATGTTCCGTTGACAGCAGTCCAGATTCAAATCCTTGAAGGCAATGAGTTCGGGATCTTCGTGACTTTGTTCAAGTTGCTACTGGTAGCACTGATAATGACAATATACTCGCTCTATATATTTGATAGGTATGTACTCACTCACTGTTTGACAACATACTCATCGGTCCCTAGACACTGTGCCTGCGTCTACTATCATGACTGGCATCGCACGAAGCGGCCTCGTCCTGCAGGAAAAGACGCCTTGCTACCAGGGGTCTCCCGAGTGATGTCCTACCAAGCACCCGTCACGGATGGCGTTCCTCAATCCACATTTACAAGTCCGCGAAACACGCTCGTATCTTCCTCGGGGATCGTCGTAGCCGTGAATGCAGACGAGGAGGTCGTCAAGCCGCCTTCGTCGAATCTATCCATCAGCCAAGCTCAGGGAACGGCTCTGCCCTTCGATGAGGAGGCAAAACTCGTCTATGGTGTCATATTCTCTCTCAGAAACATGATCAAGAAGCTATCGAAACGGTAAGCATTCCTTCGCTTCTGGAAACACAATTATTCATCCATTACTCAGAGACGAACAATTCACTGCGTATCGAACCTCGAATTACAAACTTCATCTTTACGAGACCCCCTCGTTGTACAAGTTTGTCCTGCTGACCGACGTCCGAGCCGACATGACCGCCTCCTTGCCTTCTCCCGTGCGCTTCGCCCTCAGGCAGATCTACGCAGGACCATTCTTAGAATTTGTCGTTCGCAATCCCCTGATCCCAATGGACTCTCGCACGCAGGGAATAGACAATGAGTACTTTAGAGCGAGCGTAGATCGTCTCATCCGGGGTCTGTCGTTTTTCCAGTAACTTCATCGTTCAAAGATCCATGTACAATAGTATGCAATGCTGGTGCCAAGAAAGATAGTGTGGATAGGATAAATAACGGTAAAAACTGGTGAAATATTTTAGGAACGACTCCAAAGCAAAACAAAGCAATAAGAAAGCGTGTAGATCGTGAAAACGTTGTGCCTCCTAAATGTCCTCTATGAATCTAAGTCTGTCAAATCTGAATCCGAGTCTAGAATCATTGTCTTCGCCTTTGTTGACTTCACCTGGGCCTTGGGTGTCGATCTGGGTGGAGAAGAGCGAGATGAAGATAGAGGTGAGGGCGAAGGTGGACGCGTTTCTCCTCCCGTCACGGCCGGATCCGGGTCTGATGCTTCGCCTCGTTTGTCCTCTTCTTCAAACTGCTTCCTCAACGTTTCCAAGAGTGAGGTCTTCATCATCTTTTCCGGTGCGCTCTCGGCCTTCCCATCGCTCTCCTCTGTATCCCCCGCCACAGCCTCGTCCAACGCGAGTTTGGTCTCGCCCAACCGCAACATGTCTTCTTCAATAGACCCCTTCGTGATGAGCTTCACAATGTCGACATCGCGTTTCTGTCCAATACGGTAGGCTCGGTCCGCAGCCTGACGGTCGTTGTGCGGATTGAAATCCTGGTCAAAGAGTATCACGACGCTAGCAGCGGTCAAATTGATTCCCATACCGCCAGCGCGAGTGGACAGAAGGAATACAGGGATCGACGTGTCTTTGGTGAATTCGTCGACAAGGCCTTGGCGAGCGTCCACTGCAGTAGAGCCAGTGAGGACGAGGTATTTGATGTCCTTCGCCTTGAGAACCACTTGTAGTATGTCAAGAACTTGTGTGAACTATAACAGAAGGGCAAATTGAGCGCCACGAAGGCCTTGGCGAGAAAAGAACATCGATCAAACCTGGGAGAAGATAAGACATCTGCGTCCTTCCGATTGATACTTTTCAAGTAGCATTAGCATCGCCTTGACCTTTCCGGCGTCCAAGAAGCTTTCTCCGTCCAAAAGAAATTTTTGCGTGGACTGGATAAAGGCATTCAAATACTAGAACGAAGTTTAACCATGGCCGACGCACCTTGTACAATTTGCAGAAGTGTTGTAACTCCGCATCGGTCATGACCTCCATGTCCTCTTTCACATACTCGAATATAGCACCCCTTTTCTTGAAATCAGGTTCCTTCAGGAGCAAGCGAGTAATCGAGGTCAATGTATTGTCCGTAAATTGTGTCCGGAAAAGCATCGGGTGAGCAGCCGCTTTGCGAAGGTCCATCAAAACGTTGGCGCTGTTCTCAAGGTACACCTTCTCCTTTCCTCGTGCATTCGGGCGACCTTTCTTTTGTCCCTTCGCGGCGCCCTTGGATTGTTTGTCGTTGGCGTCGGTGTTTAACGTATCCGTCGCTTCAAGAACAGTCTTCCGGGATCGAAGTCTGACATCGCGGTAGATTGCTTTCTGCGTAGCAGTCATCTCACACCATTCGATGCGCTCCGACTTCCGCGGAAGATCCTTCAAGACCTGTGCATAGCATTGAGGATTATGGAGAAGTACACGCAAGCAAGACTTCTTACTTGATCTTTACGACGGCGAAGAACGAAGGGAGTCATCATTCGCTTGGCTCGCGACACACGCTCCTCGGCCAGCAACGAGACCTTGGAATCACCCTTCACCTTGAAAATGGCCCGAAGGGATTCCAGATGCTCGGCGAATTGATTGGGAAGGATGAAGTTCATGAGAGACTTTGGAGCACATGATTTCAGACATGGAGCAGTGAAGCTTGAGGTGAAAGGGACATACAACGAGCTCCTGAAGGTTGTTTTGGAGTGGAGTGCCGGTCAACAAGAGTTTCCATTTGGCGTCGAAGCGCATGAGCGCCTGATACCTCTGCGACTGAAAGTTCTTAAGGACATGGCCTTCATCGAATACACACGTCTGAAAGGAATGGGATTAGTTATAGCGAAAGAAAATCGACAGCTACAAGAACGCACATTCCAGTCGATTCTTCGGAAGAATTTCCTGTCCTTCTCATCGCCAACAGCAAGGTTATACGTAGTGATAAGTACCTCCCATGGATCTTGATCCAAACCCCCGACGCGTGTCTCAAGAAGATTTTCACGAAGTTGAGGTCGATCGTTCTTGTCCGCATAATATGGTTGCACTGCGATCTTAGGAGCGAACCGTTGGAATTCTCTGAGCCAGTTTTCCAAGGTCGAAGATCTGCAAGAAGGTTAGGAAAAAGAGAGGTTGAGATTGAGTTAGAAACACGAACGGAACAACGATCAGGTGAGGTCCTCGTATGCCTTTCTCCTTGAGGTGGGCAAAGAAACTAATGACTTGTACGGTCTTTCCGAGGCCTGACGAAAACGTTGTAAACGACACTATCATACGATACGATAAGCCAACCAACCCATTTCGTCTGCCAGGATGCAGCTCAAGCGCCGTGAGTGAAGGAGGTTTAGCCAATTTATACCAATGATTTGGTAGTCCTTCAATTGCACATCCTTTGATAATGACGATGGCGCGGAGATGAGTCCGGAGCCCAATGTGCCATTTTCGAAGGGCAACGATACAAGGTCGATCGCACCGTCGTCGGCTTCATCGTCAAATAATGAAGCCGCTGATACAGAGCCTTCCCGTTGCTTGCCTTTGGTCTTACCAGACCACGCAGAAATAGCAGTCTTCAGCTCACTTCCGATCTCCTCACAGCCCAAAAGGATTTCGTCGACAGCACCAAACCCCTCATAAATACTCACACAATCCTGGAACACACGAGGACTAATGCCAGCCAGGCCAGCTTTCTTCTTTCCGAGGTTCAATCTTTTGACCAAGTCCTCTTCCGAAGCAAACGGCCTTAACGATATTATCCTCGAGGCCTGCTCCTCAGAACAACCTGCGTAAACTGTATGAGCAACAAAATTGAAGCTTACAGAGAGAAACGAACCAGTGAGCTGTCGTAAGGCCTCCATGCCGAAGGTATTGAGACTCTCCAAAGCCTTACGTTCGAAGTAGTTGCCTTCAAGGACTTTCGTGCCATTTGATACCGACTTAACCGGGCTCACGATCTCTGCGTCTCCTTCTGAGTCGGAATCGACGACAATCTTTCGCACTTTCGTCCTAGCAGAACGGACTGGGGCGAGTGGAGAAGATGGAATGTCTATGACCTGAGAAGTTGAAGCTGTCGCAGATGGGGACTCAGAGGCATGCTCGAGGTTTCGCCGTTGTTTATAGATCGCTGACTTCGCCCCCAACTCCTTTAACAAAGCTTTCTCTGCTTCCCGTTTCTCCACGACATCTTTGTTTTTACCCGTAACTTTTGGTCCCTCCGTCGGCGAGGGTTTGGGAGGAGACGGAGGGGGGTCTCCAGTAAACCCGGAACCTGGTTGCATCAACTTCGCAGCCGCGTTTTTGTCACCATTACACTTTCGAAATGCTGCAGTAGCCCTCCTGTCATCCCCAGGATAACAGAATACAAACGATGTGAGAGCAGATTCGTCTATCGCGTCAGGGTCCGACCGTTGACCACGCACTATTCGCGGACGGGACGATCCACCTAACATCGCGCGAGGATCGGTAGGAAATTCTTCAGAAGAGTTAGGAGAGGAGGGGATATGTGTCTCTTCATTTAAAGGTCTCTTTCGCCTCTGTCCCGGCCGGGCGACGTCGGGAGAGGGAGGAGATCCAGGCGAGACCGCCATGGTCGGCATAGGCGAGGACGGCCCAACGTTCTGACGCTTCGGTGGCCGCATTCCGTCGTGCAAGCCTGCCTCATCGAAGGGGCGACGAAGAGAAGAAGACTGCTGACGCGAACCGGACGCGTTATTCGCGTTCGTTGGCAAAATGAATCCGCTTGGTTGGGAGAGCGGATCCGCATACGCTCGTCCACCAAACGAGTGGTTCTGGTAGTTCATCAACCCCGGTATCTGCATCATCTCAGACGGCGTGGAGAACGTTTGGTACGGTCGATAACCCGATTGCGGACCCATAGGACTTGAACTGGGTACGAGAATACGTCCAGCAGGTTGCTGAGGGGTGAAATAGCGGGACGAAACCGTGGCGTCCCTTGACTGAGCTGGTGGCCCGTTCGACGATGAGGATGAAGAAGACGCTATTGACGACGACGACGCCATCTG